AGCGTTGTGTGGCGTTGTGTGGGGTAGGTTGTGTGGCGCTGTGTGGTAGAGTGTTGTGTGGTGCTGTGTGGGGTAGGTTGTGTGGGGCTGTGTGGTAGAGTGTTGTGTGGTGCTGTGTGGGGGTAGGTTGTGTGGCGTTGTGTGGGGTAGGTTGTGTGGTGCTGTGTGGTAGAGTGTTGTGTGGTGCTGTGTGGGGGTAGGTTGTGTGGGGCTGTGTGGTAGAGTGTTGTGTGGTGCTGTGTGGTAGAGTGTTGTGTGGTGCTGTGTGGGGGTAGGTTGTGTGGGGCTGTGTGAGGGTAGGTTGTGTGGTGCTGTGTGGGGGGGGGGGGGTAGGTTGTGTGGTGCTGTGTGGGGGTAGGTTGTGTGGCGTTGTGTGGGGGTAGGTTGTGTGGCGCTGTGTGGGGGTAGGTTGTGTGGGGCTGTGTGGTAGAGTGTTGTGTGGTGCTGTGTGGGGGTAGGTTGTATGGGGCTGTGTGAGGGTAGGTTGTGTGGTGCTGTGTGTGGGGGGGGGGGGTAGGTTGTGTGGTGCTGTGTGGGGTAGGTTGTGTGGGGCTGTGTGGGGGTAGGTTGTGTGGGGCTGTGTGAGGGTAGGTTGTGTGGTGCTGTGTGTGGGGGGGGGGTAGGTTGTGCGGTGCTGTGTGGGGGTAGGTTGTATTGGGCTGTGTGAGGGTAGGTTGTGTGGTGCTGTGTGGGGGGGGGGGGTAGGTTGTGTGGTGCTGTGTGGGGTAGGTTGTGTGGGGCTGTGTGGGGTAGGTTGTGTGGTGCTGTGTGGGGGGGGGTAGGTTGTGTGGTGCTGTGTGGGGGAGTAGGTTGTGTGGTGCTGTGTGGGGGGGGGGTAGGTTGTGTGGTGCTGTGTGGGGGAGTAGGTTGTGTGGTGCTGTGTGGGGGTAGGTTGTGTGGGGCTGTGTGGGGGTAGGTTGTGTGGCGCTGTGTGGTAGAGCGTTGTGTGGGGCTGTGTGGTAGAGCGTTGTGTGGGGCTGTGTGGTAGATTGTTGTGTGGGCCTGTGTGGGGGTAGGTTGTGTGGGGCTGTGTGGTAGAGTGTTGTGTGGTGCTGTGTGGGGGGTAGGTTGTGTGGTGCTGTGTGGGGGTCGGTTGTGTGGGGCTGTGTGGGGGTAGGTTGTGTGGTAGAGCGTTGTGTGGGGCTGTGTGGTAGAGCGTTGTGTGGGCCTGTGTGGTAGAGCGTTGTGTGGGCCTGTGTGAGGGTAGGTTGTGTGGTGCTGTGTGGGGGGGGGGGGTAGGTTGTGTGGGGCTGTGTGAGGGTAGGTTGTGTGGGGCTGTGAGGGGGTCGGTTGTGTGGGGCTGTGTGGGGGTAGGTTGTGTGGTGCTGTGTGGGGGTCGGTTGTGTGGGGCTGTGTGGGGGTAGGTTGTGTGGTAGAGCGTTGTGTGGGGCTGTGTGGTAGAGCGTTGTGTGGGCCTGTGTGGTAGAGCGTTGTGTGGGCCTGTGTGAGGGTAGGTTGTGTGGTGCTGTGTGGGGGGGGGTAGGTTGTGCGGGGCTGTGTGGGGTAGGTTGTGTGGGGCTGTGTGGTAGAGCGTTGTGTGGGGCTGTGTGGTAGAGCGTTGTGTGGCGCTGTGTGGTAGAGCGTTGTGTGGGGCTGTGTGGTAGAGCGTTGTGTGGGGCTGTGTGGTAGATTGTTGTGTGGGCCTGTGTGGGGGTAGGTTGTGTGGGGCTGTGTGGTAGAGTGTTGTGTGGGGCTGTGTGGTAGATTGTTGTGTGGCGCTGTGTGGTAGTGTTGTGTGGCGCTGTGTGGGGGTAGGTTGTGCGGTGCTGTATGTGTGTGTGGGGGGGGGTAGGTTGTGTGGTGCTGTGTGGGGGTAGGTTGTGTGGGGATGTGTGAGGGTAGGTTGTGTGTTGCTGTGTGGGGGGTAGGTTGTGTTGGGCTGTGTGGTAGAGCGTTGTGTGGCGCTGTGTGATAGAGCGTTGTGTGGGCCTGTGTGGGGGTAGGTTGTGTGGGGCTGTGTGGTAGAGCTTTGTGTTGGGCTGTGTGGTAGCCTACACCCGGCCACACGATGTAAAAACTTTCCATCCACGTATCAAGTCTTATGTACGCATTTGTGGCTAAACTTGTCTAGCCATTTGTGGCTAAAGTTGTCTGACCACTTGGCTATTCATATATGCAGCCAACAAAAAATAGTCTTCACAATTCCTATAAACATATTTTTTATAAAAATGAAACACAAAACACGGATCTTAAATTCTATCGGCGACCCAGCGTCTAGACTTCAGTGCCTCGTAAGATGGACGAGAGAAACATATTGATAAAACACTAGACACAGCTGAGGTTCTGGGAAAATTTCTCACTAAGATAGGATGTTTTTTAACCTCACAAACACGGCCTTTTTGTTTCTCAAACATCAGCGTTTAATCCTTAAACACATATACACACTTACACATTATGGATCGGATTCTTGATCCCAAATAGGATATTTTACAACTTCAACAACTAATTTTTTTTTAAAATTTAAATAATATTTCAACACTTTAAATAACAAATATCCTTACGTGTTAATTAAATAAAAAATAAATATGTCTTATGATAAAAAAATAATGTGTTGTCGTCATACAAGATCATTTAACCCATTCGTCAGTCAAGGTCATTTAACCCATTCGTAAGACAAGGTAATTTAACCCATTCGTAAGACAAGGTCATTTAACCCATTCGTAAGACAAGGTCATTTTACCCATTTGTCATACAAGGTCATTTAACCCATTCGTAAGACAAGGTCATTTAACCCATTCGTCATACAAGGTCATTTAACCCATTCGTAAGACAAGGTCATTTAACCCATTCGTAAGACAAGGTCATTTAACCCATTCGTAAGACAAGGGCATTTTACCCATTTGTCTTACAAGGTCATTTAACCCATTCGTCATACAAGGTCATTTAACCCATTCGTAAGACAAGGTCATTTAACCCATTCGTCATACAAGGTCATTTAACCCATTCGTAAGACAAGGTCATTTAACCCATTCGTAAGACAAGGTCATTTAACCCATTCGTAAGACAAGGTCATTTAACACATTCAACCACGGTTCCTTTAACCCTTTATTTATATATATATTTCAAACCATTTAGAAAAAGCTACTAAATAAATCTACTTGACCGTCACACAATTATCCGACCATAACCCGATAAAATTATTGCCAAAAAAATCAACTTAACTTCAAATTCTCTTGCTTCTATAACCTCCGTATGCGTTTGTACTAAGGACGAATTATGTTCAACATTTCTACTTAGAAAATGTTCATTCATAATGCAAAAACTATAAATGTCTTTATTATATCTAACAATAGAGCCTAATGGGTTGTTGGCCTTCATTCTAAACAGACCGTTCAACATTTGATAAAACATTAGCTTTTCATCTTATTCATGCATAATTAATCACAATTCCCATTCGTTTTGTGGACAATAAAAACAATTTAAAAACCTGGCATACTCAGGAGATGGAAGCATGTCTTTGCTGACCGGAGTAGTAAATATCTCTTCTCATGTAGTCAGCACACTTTGGCAGCGATGTGTAATTTCTGGTAGCGTAGTGCCAGCTTAGCTGAGAGATTTGGTGCGCATTGACTTACTTCTAAAACTCTCGCACTGAAAACGAGATAACTAATATATTTTCTTTCCATCAATCTTTCTAATTTCCAAATGTTATCCGTTAAATCTCAGTTCCAATAAAATTGAATTGTTAAAGTTCCAACATAATATATCATTCATGACGTTAGTATCATTTACCATCATCACATCGAGTATCACTTGCATCAAAATTGGTTGACCTGCAACGTCCACATGATCCACTAACACCAACAAGTTTGATATCAACCAAAACTTCTGTCACCAGCGAGTGAGACTCACATCAAACAAAGTGTCTCACCTCTAACTAAATTGTTTCACCTCTTACCAAATTGTCTCACCTCTATCTTATTTCACCTCTAACTAAATTGTCTCACCTCTAACTAAATTGTCTCACCTCTAACTAAATTTCATTTCCACCAACCTGCTCAACCTCCAATAAAACGTATCCACCACCATCAACAGGTGAACTCCATCAAAATGTCTCACCGCCACCAAAATGTCTCACCTCCATCAAAATGTCTCACCACCAAAATGTCTCACCACCACCACAATGTCTCACCACCAAAATGTCTCACCTCCACCAAAATGTCTCAACACCAAAATGTCTCACCACCACCAAAATGTCTCACCTCCACCATAATGTCTCACCACCAAAATGTCTCACCTCCACCAAAATGTCTCACCGCCACTAAAATGTCTCACCACCACCAAAATGTCTCACCTCCACCATAATGTCTCACCTCCACCATAATGTCTCACCACCAAAATGTCTCACCACCACCAAAATGTCTAACCACCGAAATGTGTCACCACCACTAAAATATCTCACCACCACCAAAATGTCTCACCACCACCAAAATGTCTCACCACCACCAAAATGTCTCACCACCACAAAAATGTGTCACCACCACTAAAATATCTCACCACCACCAAAATGTCTCACCACCACCAAAATGTCTCACCACCACCAAAATGTCTCACCACCACCAAAATGTCTCACCACCACTAAAATATCTCACCACCACCAAAATGTCTCACCACCAAAATGTCTCACCACCACCAAAATGTCTCACCACCACCAAAATGTCTCACCACCAAAATGTCTCACCACCACCAAAATGTCTCACCACCACTAAAATATCTCACCACCACCAAAATGTCTCACCACCACTAAAATATCTCACCACCACCAAAATGTCTCACCACCACCAAAATATCTCACCACCACCAAAATGTCTCACCTCCACCAAAATGTCTCACCACCAAAGTGTCTCACCTCCACCAAAATGTCTCACCACCAAAATGTCTCACCACCACCAAAATGTCTCACCTCCACCAAAATGTCTCACCACCAAAATGTCTCACCACCACCAAAATGTCTCACCACCAAAATGTCTCACCACCAAAATGTCTCACTTCCACCACAGACAGCTCCGACAGCAGCATCGTATCCGTCTGCACGTCTGCCTGATGGTGTCGTCAGGTCTGTCGTCTGCCTTCACGCTCTTGTGGGAGCTCGTGGTCTTCCAGGACAGGATAGTCAACCACAACGAGAGCTCTATCATGAAGGGAAACTCGGTGAGTAGTGTCAGCACCATTGTGTGTCAGTGGTTGGTGAGTTATGTCACGCCATTGTCCTAGTTAGAGCATACATTTTAACCTCCTGTCCTAGTTACACAACACTGTTTGACCTACTGTCCTAGTTACACAACACTGTTTGACCTCCTGTCCTAGTTACACAACACTGTTTGACCTACTGTCCTAGTTACACAACACTGTTTGACCTCCTGTCCTAGTTACACAACACTGTTTGACCTACTGTCCTAGTTACACTATACTGTCTGACCTACTGCCCTCATTAGAGCTTGACCAGACGATATCCTTGCAGGTTGGCTGCCGTCTGCTGTACGTCCTGTACAGGTACACTCTTCTCATGCCATTTGCCTGGATGTTTATTGAAGGATTCCATCTTCATCGTCTGCTGGTGAGGGCATTTTCTGTGCCCAAATCTTTGGCGCCGTACTACGTTACTGGATTTGGTAAGTTGTGTATTAGCAGGGGGGGGGGCAATGCATGTCTACCGCCTCCCCCCCCCCCCCACCTCCGAACGAGATATAATATATATAGAAGTATACTAGTATATATGGAGAAGAGTCAGGGCCCTATGGAGAAATGTTTTCAACCCTATGAAGAATTGTAGTCAGTTCCGTATGGATAAGTTAAATCAGGGCCCTATGGAGAAATGTAGTCAGGGCCCTAAGGAGAAGTGTTTTCAGGGCCCTATGGAGAAGTCAAGGCCCTATTGAGAAGTCAGGGCTCAATGGAGAAGTGTAGGCAGAGCCCAATGGAGAAGCCAGGGCCCTATGGAGTGTATTGGCCATGTGATAGTGTGGGAAATCACATCAAGAAAAAGTACCACGCCTACACATTAATTCGTGTGTTTATCAGCCTTGAATCATTCTTTTACTTAACTGCCCAATTAGAATGGCTGTCCAAGGATTTCATGCTGAAGTGTTCATTAAACTTTTAATGGTAATTAGTTTAATTAAGAAATTTTAATGAGTGAATTTCTCCTTAGGTCTGACGTGGCTCCCTATTTTGGTGTATGCAATCATTAAAGGAACACATGAGCAATACAATCACACGTAAGTACTCTTGTTTGCAGACTTTTTTCCTGTCTTTAGACTGTCTTATCTAGACTGTCCTGTCTCCAGACTTTCTTATCTCTAAACGGTTCTTTCTCTAATTTGTATGTCATGTATCTCAACTGTCTTGTCTCTAAACGGTGCTGTCTCTAATTTGTATGTCATGTCTCTCAATTGTCTTGTCTCTAAACGGTTCTGTCTCTAATTTGTATGTCATGTCTCTCAATTGTCTTGTCTCTAAACGGTTCTGTCTCTAATTTGTATGTCATGTCTCTCAATTGTCTTGTCTCTAAACGGTTCTGTCTCTAATTTGTATGTCATGTCTCTCAATTGTCTTGTCTCTAAACGGTTCTGTCTCTAATTTGTATGTCATGTCTCTCAACTGTCTTGTCTCTAAACGGTTCTGTCTCTAATTTGTATGTCATGTCTCTCAATTGTCTTGTCTCTAAACGGTTCTGTCTCTAATTTGTATGTCATGTCTCTCAATTGTCTTGTCTCTAAACGGTTCTGTCTCTAATTTGTATGTCATGTCTCTCAATTGTCTTGTCTCTAAACGGTTCTGTCTCTAATTTGTATGTCATGTCTCTCAACTGTGTTGTCTCTAAACGGTTCTGTCTCTAATTTGTATGTCATGTCTCTCAATTGTCTTGTCTCTAAACGGTTCTGTCTCTAATTTGTATGTCATGTCTCTCAATTGTCTTGTCTCTAAACGGTTCTGTCTCTAATTTGTATGTCATGTCTCTCAACTGTCTTGTCTCTAAACGGTTCTGTCTCTAATGTGTATGTCATGTCTCTCAATTGTCTTGTCTCTAAACGGTTCTGTCTCTAATTTGTATGTCTTGTCTTGTCACTAGTCTCTCTTTTCTCTTGGCTGTCTTACCACTAGACTCTTGTCTCTCAACTGTCTTGTCTCTCGACTGTCTTGTCTCTCGACTGTCTTGTCTCTTGACTGTCTTGTCTTTAATGAGTCTGTTATCACAATTAGGGCGATTTTAATCAATACAAAGTGTAAGCACACATTGAACTTTTCTAGAACCCCTGTTGAAACCCAAAAAAAAATTAATTATACGACCGTATTCATTCTTATACCCCAAGATTCTAAGCAGTACTGTATGTCTTGGTTGTTGTTGATAACTCTACCTAGACATCTACTCCAGTCTCGCACAGATTATTTTATGTGAAGTAATGTCGTCTCCTAATGGAATCTTTCCAGCTTGACTTAAGCTATTCTTTTGTTTTAAGTAAGGTCTCTCTTATGAAATCTTTGCACCTTGACTTAAGATGTTCTTTTATTCTAAGTAATTTCTCTCTAATGAAATTTTTGCACTTTGGCATTAGCCATAAAGTAATAATGAAAATTTTGCAATTATTATTCACGTTGTCCATAAAACGGTTCGTTAATTAACGTTCATAATTAAAAAAAATATCTCGTGTTCAACTTTTCTAAGATAAATGAGTTGAATTAACTCGAGCTTAACGAAATCATGCAATGAAATGTAGGCGGTGTGACGTCATCAATCTTAGACGGAACTATGAAATTCAAAGAATAATTAAAATAATTAGACACGTGACACGAGCGGGGTCGGGGGGCGGGAGGCCGGGGGTCTGGCTCTGGTCCTAGGTGATGAGTCTGTGGCATTTGCAGTTCGACGTGACATTCTCGAGAGTTTCAGTTGCCTGTGTGACACCTTGTATTGAATGACACACATGACACCTATAATGTCTGCCCTCGTGTTGCGTGTGATGCATATTTGTCATGCGTCCTACAAATGTCAGTATACCCTCACGTCATGTCACGTGACACGTGCTCCTCATGCCATGTGTCTCCCCCCACCTCCCGCCAACACCCCCCCCCCCCCCGCCCCAACACCCCGCTACCTGATGAAATCAATCTTCTCCCCGCTAATTAAATTGTCACATACGTGAGTCAAGGGCCGCACTGAGCCAGGGTTAGAGGGTGTCACGTGGTATAAAAAAAGTAAATAATGGCTCAATTTTGTGTGGGCCATAGCTGGCTGGTGCCTGAAGGTCACGCATTTTCAAACCTGCTAGTGCAAGGTCATGTCCGGTATACAGGTCAACGTCACTCACTCTCGTCCAGTGTTTCTTCCAGACTTTTTTTCCGGAGTACTTGAATTATTTTGGGGGGGGGGGGGGGGTGAAAGCGGACATTGGTAAAAGTATTTTCTAAATAAATTCTTTCGTTAGGTGGGTGGGGAGGTACATCTTTCAGGGGGCTCCACGCACCCCACCCCTCCTGTCCCACCCCACCAGTCCCACCCCACCAGTCCCACCCCACCAGTCCCATCCTCCAGTCCCGCTCTACCATTCCCACCCCTCCTGTCCCACCCCACCAGTCCCACCCCACCAGTCCCACCCCACCAGCCCCGCCCCACCAGCCCCACCCCACCAGTCCCACCCCACCAGTTCCACCCCACCAGTCCCACCCCACCAGTCCCACCCCACCCTGAACATTAACCGAGGCGCCATCGAGACCACTCCATAAATGGCCAGGCAGACCACGTGACCGCAGATAATTCACCAGATAGCCCACGTGATCCGCTCACCAGAAAACCGATGTATCTTTTGGGATTTTTGTAAGCTGATAGCACCCACCCCGGGGACGTAGCCCCACCCCACCCATCTGCCCCACAACCAAGATGGCGCTGGTCAGACCCGGGCAGGACTAGCAGACGTACAGCACTAACCAAATGACCGCTTAAACACATTAGAAGCTCTCACGTTAATAGGTCTAGACGAATTTCCTTCAGATACCCAATCAATTGCCGCTCAAACCCCGTCTGACCGGTCGCCGGAATACGCCGGTTTTTTATGGTCAAGTGATCTTGAGCTTTAATAAAATAACCGAACTAACATTGTATTAAAAGCTGACCTTTGGTAGAATCGGTGTCGTCTGCTGTAGTTGATATTCTGACTGAGAGGTTAAACATTGCTGTGTAATAAACTGTGACAAAGACGAAAAAACCGGCTTCAGAAAGTTTGCCGGGATGCCGGCTATATTGTACTGTGTCAGAGGAAGTGGCCTATGTCCGATTTCAAGTTGTGCAGGCATTGTGTGGGTAAGACAGGCTAAACGTCGGTACATCAGCTGATTCTGATACAGGGGTGGTTACATTTAGATGCACCGTCAAAATGGTCCGGGACAAAACGGCCCCGTCAAAACAGCCCCGTCATTATCACCCCGTCAAATCGACCCATTTAAAATAGCTCCGTCAAACGGGCCCCAACATATTGACTCACGACATATAGGCGCCCGACAAATGGGCTCCTGACGTTTAGGCTCTCGACAAAATGGCTCCCGTTATTACAACTCTCAACAAATAGGCTCCTTTCATTTTGGCTATCAATATATATATATATATATATATATATATATATATATATATATATATATATATATATATATATATATATATATATATATATATATATATATATATATAAACACATAATATAGCCACGACTTAGCAAGCCGTTAAATGTGAAACAGACCGGAACGAAATAATTAATTGACGTCTTTAAAAATTCCGTTTAATTACATGAATATTTGTGTCGCCCATTGTTCCCTACCAGCCTTCAAGGCATGCTGGTTCCTCTGGTTCCCGGAACACGTACATTTATAATTACCCCAACACGTGACAAAAGCCCCGCATTCATTCATGCTTGGATTGGAACCAAAGTTTTCATCTAGGATTCTCAAAACAAAAACATAAACACCGTTTCAGTTCAATGAGGAGAGAATTATTCATCATAATATCCCCCTACCCCTCCCCCACCAGGCAAAATTATTCATCATACCATCCCCACCCCTCCCCCAAAAACCTACCCAACATAAAGAATACGTTATTTCTATATTTTTTTCTATCCCACTCACTCATGCGCGCACACACACATAGACATACATACAAATTCCCCAAACACATCTCCACCACTCCCCTCCTCTACTAGATAAGTCCCCATTTTCCCCTAAGCTTTATGTCTCCTATTTTTAGCACGCCCAGCTTTTAGATTTGAGAAAAAGCTAAAAGCATTGAATGATTAATTCAAGAATTTTCAAGAAACCCGCATTAGCAAAATACAAAACATCCGCATCAGCTAAAATATTCCATCTCCCACCCAACAAAGGTATAGAGCTCAATTTTTAGCCCACAACCAACAAAAGTACTTGATATTTTGCAAATTCTACATTCCAAACATGAGAATTATCTTTCACCATATTCCGAACGTGAAACTTCCAAATATGAGATTTAACAAATCTATAATAACAAAAACAAGAGTTAACGCAATCACATTCCGAACATGTGATTTATTTTTCTTCATATTCCATACTTGAAAGTTGATTCATTCCAAACATAAGTTTTAACAAACTCCACAATTCTAAACTTGTTTAAATAAACTTTAAAAAAAAAACAACATTAGGAACAAAACAATACATTGATCGTTTGAGAAGTTAACATTTCGAATGCTATGCACTTTAATTTTACTACCATTGTGTTTAGTTTAAAGCTAAGTGTGGCTAAATATAGCTCTCGGGTTGTCTAAATATAGCTCAGCACGTGCTCTCTTTGTTTATCTTAGTTGCTGGGTCTACATGGCCGGACCATATGAGTGGATAATCTACACACCCATTGCAGTGTTTCTGCTGGTAAGTATCGGCTTGTAATGGAAAAATCTTAGGGGAACAGGGCATTACCCCCCCCCGTCAATTACCCCCCGGACATCCCCCGACATTACCACCGGAGTAATTACCCCCCTATCAATTACCCCCCTGTCAATTTCCCCCCGCCCAGTAAGACATTACTCCCCCCCCCCCAGAAAGGCTTAGGCTTAGATAGGGTTAGGGCTATGGTAAGGGTTAGGAGTAGGGTTAGTGTTATGGTCAGGGTTAGGGTTAGAGCTATAGCTATGGCTAAGGTTAGGGTTAAGGCTAGATTTAGGGTTAGGCTTAAACCAAAGTCTAGCATTGATTTTGGTTTTGTGTTAAGTTTTAGGCTGAGCTGGATGCTTAGGTTTTGGTCTTTTTCTTAAAGCTAGGAATAAGGTAATATATAGGTATAGAATTTGAGTTAGAGTTAGGATTCTAACTTGAGGGTTGGAGGGGGGCGGGTAATTGCCCGGAGGGGGGGGGTAATCGACAGGGGGTAATTGCTCCGGGGGGGGGTTTAATACGGGTGGGGGTAAATGTCCGGGAGGGGGGGTAATGTCCAGTATGCATATCTTAGATGGTGGGTCACATTCACAACCCATTGCAGTGTCTGCTTGTAAGTATCGGCTTGTAAAGTATTTCTTAGATGGTATGAGTGGCATACACTCCCAGCGACAATTACATTTGTTGTCTCATTACATTTCTACATTGACCTTTTTGACTTGACGACCGCCTTTTATTGCCTGCTGGAGAGCCTCATTAAAAGGTAATGGTCTCCTGACAATCAACGGAAACTTGGTATAAAAATATATTTTAAAGATTGAGAGAACGAGTTGAGATTTGTATCAGTTGCACAGACGTCGGCTGAACAAGGGCGTGACAGTTTGACTGCTTGACCGAACAAAAGAAATCTCACTAATTTAAGTAATTAATGTAATTAAATAAACTTTATTATTATATTGGATGGGCGGGCGTTTTAACACTCGTCTTTCGTGAAGAAAGCAGAGAATAATTTTTAATCACACGAGATTAAATAAATAGGATCATTACATAATGTAACTCAAAACAGCAACGCTCTTATGGCTTATATCATATATCACCGGTCACACCCCCTACTGGACTTATATCACCGGACCCACCTCCCAACACCAACTTTATATCACCGGACACATCTCTTTCTGACCTAACATCACCGGACACTCCTCTGACTGACCTAACATCACCGGACACTCCTCTGACTGACCTAACATCACCGGACACATCTCTTTCTGACCTAACATCACCGGACACTCCTCTGACTGACCTAACATCACCGGACACATCTCTTTCTGACCTAACATCACCGGACACTCCTCTGACTGACCTAACATCACCGGACACTCCTCTGACTGACCTAACATCACCGGACACTCCTCTGACTGACCTAACATCACCGGACACTCCTCTGACTGACCTAACATCACCGGACACTCCTCTGACTGACCTAACATCACCGGACACTCCTCTGACTGACCTAACATCACCGGACACTCCTCTGACTGACCTAACATCACCGGACACTCCTCTGACTGACCTAACATCACCGGACACTCCTCTGACTGACCTAACATCACCGGACACTCCTCTGACTGACCTAACATCACCGGACACTCCTCTGACTGACCTAACATCACCGGACACTCCTCTGACTGACCTAACATCACCGGACACACCCCTACTGACCTAACAACGAAAACTACAATCCCTACTAACCTAACTTAGCGCCGACTGTCTCAGCTATTATTGATTAAAACTGATTAAATCATCCTAGTTTCATCGAAAACCTAAAAATAGAAATTTAAATGTAATTGAAAACACAATCTAGCAAGCTAATATCGAACTGTGATAGTATGACAAAGATTGTCATTGATGTTGATTAAAATGTTCTGTCAGTTTCTACCAAACGACATATTGTAATTACCTCCCCTTAACTGGGTTAACGTTAATGTTCGATGTAAAATATCATTGAATTGTTTCGCTCTCTTCCCCAGGCGAATCTAATTTTTATGATACGCATTGTTTACATCATGGTCAACCAATTGGAACCACATCCTAATGAGCCGGGGATGTTCAGGTGAGTCAGCCCCACCCTAATGAGCCGGGTATGTTCAGGTGAGTGGGATATGTTCAGGTGAGTGGGGTATGTTCAGGTGAGTGGGATATGTTCAGGTGAGTGGGATATGTTCAGGTGAGTGGGGTATGTTCAGGTAAGTGGGATATGTTCAGGTGAGTGGGGTATGTTCAGGTGAGTGGGATATGTTCAGGTGAGTGGGGTATGTTCAGGTGAGTGGGATATGTTCAGGTGAGTGGGGTATGTTCAGGTGAGTGGGGTATGTTCAGGTGAGTGGGGTATGTTCAGGTGAGTGGGGTATGTTCAGGTGAGTGGGGTATGTTCAGGTGAGTGGGATATGTTCAGGTGAGTGGGGTATGTTCAGGTGAGTGGGGTATGTTCAGGTGAGTGGGATATGTTCAGGTGAGTGGGGTATGTTCAGGTGAGTGGGATATGTTCAGGTGAGTGGGGTATGTGCAGGTGAGTGGGGTATGTTCAGGTGAGTGGGGTATGTTCAGGTGAATGGGGTATGTGCAGGTGAGTGGGGTATGTGCAGGTGAGTGGGGTATGTGCAGGTGAGTGGGGTATGTTCAGGTGAGTGGGGTATGTTCAGGTGAGTGGGGTATGTTCAGGTGAGTGGGGTATGTTCAGGTGAGTGGGGTATGTTCAGGTGAGTGGGGTATGTTTAGGTGAGTGGGGTATGTTCAGGTGAGTGGGGTATGTTTAGGTGAGTGGGGTATGTTCAGGTGAGTGGGCTATGTTTAGGTGAGTGGGGTATGTTTAGGTGAGTCAGCCCCAGCCTATAAGTCGGGTATGTTTAGGTGAGTGGGGTATGTTCAGGTGAGTGCTGTATGTTCAGGTGAGTGGGGTATGTTCAGGTGAGTGGGGTATGTTCAGGTGAGTTGGGTATGTTCAGGTGAGTGGGGTATGTTCAGGTGAGTGGGGTATGTTCAGGTGAGTGGGGTATGTTCAAATGAGTGGGGTATGTTCAGGTGAGTGGGGTATGTGCAGGTGAGTTGGCTATGTTCAGGTGAGTGGGGTATGTTCAGGTGAGTGGGGTATGTTCAGGTGAGTGGGGTATGTTCAGGTGAGTGGGGTATGTTTAGGTGAGTGGGGTATGTTCAGGTGAGTGGGGTATGTGCAGGTGAGTGGGGTATGTTCAGGTGAGTGGGTATGTTTAGGTGAGTGGGGTATGTTCAGGTGTGTGGGGTATGTTCAGGTGAGTGGGTATGTTTAGGTGAGTGGGGTATGTTCAGGTGAGTGGGGTATGTTCAGGTGAGTAGGATATGTTCAGGTGAGTGGGGTATGTCCAGTTGAGTCAGCCCCACCCTAATAAGTCGGGTATGTTAAGTTGAGTTGGCCTTTGATGCTTACACGTGCATACCAACTTTACTCATTCCCTCTTGATTTTATCCTACTCTGACACACATTCATGCTAGTTTATGCCAACTCCACTCATCCGTACTTGATTTTATCCCAACCAAACACATCCATACTAGCTTTATGCTAATCCAATACATACCCAATTAAAGTTAATATCTGCTAGTTATAAATTTTGCGTTACCCCACAATATTTATGATTACGTAATAAAATAAACAAATAAGAAATGAACTTGTTAATTAAACCGTCGTAATTAAACATTAGAAATATCACACATGACTGAACGTGTTCTCAAAGACTAGCATAGTCCTGACAGTCAGACCATCATCTTTATGTCAGTCTGTCAAAATATGTCAGACCATCATCTTTATGACAGTCTGTCAAAATATGTCAGACCATCATCTTTATGACAGTCTGTCTTTATGACCGGCATCCAGCATATTGGACGGTAAAAGTACCGTAAGAGAAGACATTCAAGCAGCCCATCATTAGAGAAGGGGCCGTTAGTGGCCAGTCTAAATATAGTAACATGGTCTGCCTTCCGGCCCCGTGTGGCGCTGACCCCGGTGACAATAAGTTGACCTTTAGGCCATTGACCGCGGACATCGTGTCCTTATTATGCTAAAGGTTATGTACACACCAGAAAACGAATGTACACATAAGGACTCCATGTCCAGCATTAGTAACACTAGACTGCATGTATCTGTTATGACTAGCCAAGGGTAGATAATCTTTCAACATCCAGACAAGGGGGATAACTTAGTATTACGCGGTATTTTTTATGACGGTGATGAAGCAGAAATATAACAATTGTTCGGGTAACCGATTTATTAAATGATTATGATGAATCGGAAATACACCCCTTGTTCGCTTGACTGATTTTTTCAGACGGTTGTAATTATATACAACTACATGTATTCACGCATGACTGATTTGTCTAGCATGACCTAACCACGTGTCAGTCGTCTATTTGAGAGCCTCGTTTTAGATTGTGGTGTCACGTGACCTAACGTGTTGTAACTGCTCTACAGGCGTGCGGTCAAGGCCATCTGGGTACTGATGCCGTTGTTTGGTGTCCAGTATATCCTGCTCGTCTACAAGCCAGATGGCTCGACACACGACGAGGGGCACGCGCTTGAGTTGGTTTATAAAGTGGTCAACAGTCTACAGGTGAGTTGTCACAGGCTACAGGTGAGGTGTCACAAGCTACAGGTGAGGTGTCACAAGTCTTAAGGTGAGTTGTCACAAGTCTACAGGTGAGTTGTCACAAGTCTACAGGTGAGTTGTCACAAGTCTACAGGTGAGTTGTCACAGGCTACAGGTGAATTGTCACAGGCTACAGGTGAGTTGTCACAGGTTAAAGGTGAGTTATCACAGTCTACAGGTGAGTTGTCACAAGTCTACAGGTGAGTTGTCACAAGTTACACGTGAGTTGTCACAAGTTACAAGTGAGTTGTCACAAGTCTACAGGTGAGTTGTCACAAGCTACAGGTGAGTTGTCACAAGTTACACGTGAGTTGTCACAAGTTAAACGTGAGTTGTCACAAGTTACACGTGAGTTGTCACAAGTTACAGGTGAGTTGTCACAAGTCTACAGGTGAGTTGTCACAAGTCTACAGATGAGTTGTCACAAGCTACAAGTGATTTGTCACAAGTCTACATGTGAGTTATCACAAGCTACAGGTGAGTTGTCACAGGCTACAGGTGAGTTGTCACAAGCTACAGGTGAGTTGACACAAGTCTACAGGTGAGTTGTCAAAAATCTATAAGTGAGTTGTCACAAGTCTACAGGTGAGTTGTCACAAGTTACAGGTGAGTTGTCACAGGCTACAGGTGAGTTGTCACAGGCTACAGGTGAGTTGTCACAGGTTAAAGGTGAGTTGTCACAGTCTACAGGTGAGTTGTCACAAGTCTACAGGTGAGTTGTCACAAGTTACACGTGAGTTGTCACAAGTTACAAGTGAGTTGTCACAAGTCTACAGGTGAGTTGTCACAAGTTACACGTGAGTTGTCACAAGTTACACGTGAGTTGTCACAAGTTACAAGTGAGTTGTCACAAGTCTACAGGTGAGTTGTCAAAAGTTACACGTGAGTTGTCACAAGCTACAGGTGAGTTGTCACAAGTTACAAGTGAGTTGTCACAAGTCTACAGGTGAGTTGTCACAAGCTACAGGTGAGTTGTCACAAGTTACACGTGAGTTGTCACAAGTTAAACGTGAGTTGTCACAAGTTACACGTGAGTTGTCACAAGTTACACGTGAGTTGTCAAAAATCTATAAGTGAGTTGTCACAAGTCTACAGGTGAGTTGTCACAAGTTACAGGTGAGTTGTCACAGGCTACAGGTGAGTTGTCACAGGCTACAGGTGAGTTGTCACAGGTTAAAGGTGAGTTGTCACAGTCTACAGGTGAGTTGTCACAAGTCTACAGGTGAGTTGTCACAAGTTACACGTGAGTTGTCACAAGTTACAAGTGAGTTGTCACAAGTCTACAGGTGAGTTGTCACAAGTTACACGTGAGTTGTCACAAGTTACACGTGAGTTGTCACAAGTTACAAGTGAGTTGTCACAAGTCTACAGGTGAGTTGTCAAAAGTTACACGTGAGTTGTCACAAGCTACAGGTGAGTTGTCACAAGTTACAAGTGAGTTGTCACAAGTCTACAGGTGAGTTGTCACAAGCTACAGGTGAGTTGTCACAAGTTACACGTGAGTTGTCACAAGTTAAACGTGAGTTGTCACAAGTTACACGTGAGTTGTCACAAGTTACACGTGAGTTGTCACAAGTTACAGGTGAGTTGTCACAAGTTACAGGTGTGTTGTCACAAGTCTACAGGTGAGTTGTCACAAGTCTACAGATGAGTTGTCACAAGCTACAAGTGATTTGTCACAAGTCTACATGTGAGTTATCACAAGCTACAGGTGAGTTGTCACAGGCTACAGGTGAGTTGTCACAAGCTACAGGTGAGTTGTCAACTGTCACAAGTCTACAGGTGAGTTGTCACAAGCTACAGGTGAGTTGTCACAAGTTACAAGTGAGTTATCACAAGTCTACAGGTGAGTTGTCACAAGCTACAGGTTAGTTGTCACAAGTCTACATGTGAGTTATCACAAGCTACAGGTGAGTTGTCACAGGCTACAGGTGAGTTGTCACAAGCTACAGGTGAGTTGTCAACTGTCACAAGTCTACAGGTGAGTTGTCACAAGCTACAGGTGAGTTGTCACAAGTTACAAGTGAGTTGTCACAAGTCTAAAGGTGAGTTGTCACAAGCTACAGGTGAGTTGTCACAAGTTACACGTGAGTTGTCACAAGTTACAGGTGAGTTGTCACAAGTTACACGTGAGTTGTCACAAGCTACAGGTGAGTTGTCACAAGTTACAAGTGAGTTGTCACAAGTCTACAGGTGAGTTGTCACAAGCTACAGGTGAGTTGTCACAAGTTACACGTGAGTTGTCACAAGTTAAACGTGAGTTGTCACAAGTTACACGTGAGTTGTCACAAGTTACACGTGAGTTGTCACAAGTTACAGGTGAGTTGTCACAAGTTACAGGTGTGTTGTCACAAGTCTACAGGTGAGTTGTCACAAGTCTACAGATGAGTTGTCACAAGCTACAAGTGATTTGTCACAAGTCTACATGTGAGTTATCACAAGCTACAGGTGAGTTGTCACAGGCTACAGGTGAGTTGTCACAAGCTACAGGTGAGTTGTCACAGGCTACAGATGAGTTGTCACAAGCTACAAGTGATTTGTCACAAGTCTACATGTGAGTTATCACAAGCTACAGGTGAGTTGTCACAAGCTACAGGTGAGTTGTCAACTATCACAAGTCTACAGGTGAGTTGTCACAAGCTACAGGTGAGTTGACACAAGTCTACGAGTGAGTTGTCAAAAATCTATAAGTGAGTTGTCACAAGTCTACAAGTGAGTTGTCACAAGCTAGAGGTGAGTTGTCACAAGCTACAGGTGAGTTGTCACAAGTCTACAGGTGAGTTGTCACAAGTCTACAGGTGAGTTATCACAAGTTACAGGTGAAGTGTCACAAATCTACATGCGAGTTGTCACAAGTTACAGGTGAGTTATCACAAATCTACAGGTGAGTTATCACAAGTCTACAGGTGAGTTGTCACAAGTTACAGGTGAGTTATCACAAATCTACATGTGAGTTGAACTTATTGCAAAGAAAACGCGTGCATAGTTAACATGTCTCGATGTATTTTTATCTTAGGCTTTCGACGAATTAACACAACCTTATACCATCTTACAGTTCAGAGAAAATAAGCACAATGCTTATGTATTCTTAAGTATTCTATCATAACCAAAACAATATCTGAGGTGAAACAAAAAAGCCTTTATAACAAGCAGTGTTTCTTCCAGACTTTTTTCTCAGGGGGTGAGGGGGGGGGGGGGTACTTGAAATTTTCGGAGGGGACGGGGGACCGAAATAATCACTGTCTATTTTTAAATTTTTTGATCTATTTTCAGGGCGCGTTCATTGCCATCGTCTGCTGTTATCTCAACAGAGAGGTAGGTCATCGTGACATCGTGACCACGTGATCATGTAATTATGTGGTCATGTGAGCAAGGACGCCACATGATATTAAGCAAGGGCGGCTACTCTAGTGTGCACTGATAGGGAGGGACTTAATTGGATAATTAATTTTGTTATTTATAACTCACAGTCTCAGTACAGAAATGTTCTAATACTTCAAAATAACTCAATAATTATAGATCTCATTTTAAATTTCGATAATTTATTGGATTTTCATCAATTATAATTAGCCGTTTAGTTATTCCGGGTGGGTCATTTGGCGCACTTTGACCTACTGTAAGTGCTATCAACTACACGGAATTATCCGTATTAATCTGTCAGTAACCATATCTACAATCAGTTTTGAAAATGTTCAGATTTTAAATGCAGCCAATGTGTGATAGATTAACGTGTGGGTCATGTTAAATGTTTGTCTTTAGATTAACGTGTGGGTCATGTTAAATGTTTGTCTTTGACTTTAGATTAACGTGTGGGTCATGTTAAATGTTTGTCTTTGACTTTAGATTAACGTGCGGGTCATGTTAAATGTTTGTCTTTGACTTTAGATTAACGTGTGGGTCATGTTAAATGTTTGTCTTTGACTTTAGATTAACGTGTGGGTCATGTTAAATGTTTGTTTTTGACTTTAGATTAACGTGTGGGTCATGTTAAATGTTTGTCTTTGACTTTAGATTAACGTGTGGGTCATGTTAAATGTTTATCTTTGGCTTTAGATTAACGTGTGGGTCATGTTAAATGTTTGTCTTTGACTTTAGATTAACGTGTGGGTCATGTTAAATGTTTGTCTTTGACTTTAGACTAACGTGTGGGTCATGTTAAATGTTTGTCTTTGACTTTAGATTAACGTGTGGGTCATGTTAAATGTTTGTTTTTGACTTTAGATTAACGTGTGGGTCATGTTAAATGTTTGTCTTTGACTTTAGATTAACGTGTGGGTCATGTTAAATGTTTGTCTTTGACTTTAGATTAACGTGTGGGGCATGTTAAATGTTTGTCTTTGACTTTAGATTAACGTGTGGGTCATGTTAAATGTTTGTCTTTGTGGGTCATGTTAAATGTTTGTCTTTGACTTTAGATTAACGTGTGGGTCATGTTAAATGTTTGTTTTTGACTTTAGATTAACGTGTGGGGCATGTTAAATGTTTGTCTTTGACTTTAGATTAACGTGTGGGTCATGTTAAATGTTTATCTTTGGCTTTAGATTAACGTGTGGGTCATGTTAAATGTTTGTCTTTGACTTTAGATTAACGTGTGGGTCATGTTAAATGTTTGTCTTTGACTTTAGACTAACGTGTGGGTCATGTTAAATGTTTGTCTTTGACTTTAGATTAACGTGTGGGTCATGTTAAATGTTTGTTTTTGACTTTAGATTAACGTGTGGGTCATGTTAAATGTTTGTCTTTGACTTTAGATTAACGTGTGGGTCATGTTAAATGTTTGTCTTTGACTTTAGATTAACGTGTGGGGCATGTTAAATGTTTGTCTTTGACTTTAGATTAACGTGTGGGTCATGTTAAATGTTTGTCTTTGTGGGTCATGTTAAATGTTTGTCTTTGACTTTAGATTAACGTGTGGGTCATGTTAAATGTTTGTTTTTGACTTTAGATTAACGTGTGGGGCATGTTAAATGTTTGTCTTTGACTTTAGATTAACGTGTGGGTCATGTTAAATGTTTGTTTTTGACTTTAGATTAACGTGTGGGTCATGTTAAATGTTTGTGTTTGACTTTAGATTAACGTATGGGTCATGTTAAATGTTTGTGTTTGACTTCCGGGTCATGTTAAATGTTTGTTTTTGACTTTAGATTAACGTGTGGGTCATGTTAAATGTTTGTTTTTGACTTTAGATTAACGTGTGGGTCATGTTAAATGTTTGTGTTTGACTTTAGATTAACGTATGGGTCATGTTAAATGTTTGTGTTTGACTTCCGGGTCATGTTAAATGTTTGTGTTTGACTTCCGGGTCATGTTAAATGTTTGTTTTTGACTTTAGATTAACGTGTGGGTCATGTTAAATGTTTGTGTTTGACTTCCAGGTCCAAGGGTACCTCTCAACGTTCTGCAGCAGATGCATAGGCCGCACGGGACTTCGGCGAGATTTCACAACACGATCCATCACCATGACTACCCAGTACGCTTCTGACGTCACGCGGAAAAAATCGACCAATGGCGAGGGGGATACGAGTCAGATGATCCCGCTTCAGCCAGTCAACAACCACGAGAGCACTAAGGGAGGTAAAGCTAACGGAGATTATCCTCTGATGGCAGGACACATCGAGGATGATGAGCTCAACTCGTACAAGCACGTGTCGTGAGTGTAGGACCTGGGGTACTCACCCGTCGTGAGTCTAGGACGTAGGTACCCAACTCATCATTGGTCTAGGACCTAGGTACCCACCCGTAGTGAGTATAGGACCTAGGGTACCCACCCATCGTGAGTCTAGGACCTAGATACTTACCCGTCGTGGGTCTAGGATTGGGTACCCACCCGTCTTGGTCTAGGACCTAGATACCCACCCATCATGGGTCTAAGACCTAGGGTACCAAACTGTCATGGGTCTTAGGGTACCAGCCCATTATGGGTCTTAAGGTACCAGCCCATTATGGGTCTAAGACAGGGTACCAACCCATCATGGGTCTAAGACTTACTATCCATAATGGGTCTAAGATCCAAAGACGTATACCAAATTATCTACAGTATAAGACTAGCAATTGTGAATATCAAATCATTATTGGAGAACATTTAATCTAGTCCAGGATTTGAGATTTTGTATTTAATTAAAAAAGGGCAAAAAGCGTTGAGCCAAGCGGTACTGAAATCAATTTATCAGTTACAACTTGACAGTGATCATTTTTCTTCTTAAGCCAAATAATCTGATGCGTTCTCTATATTTGGCAATCATAATTTTTTAAAGTGTAATGTTATATTGTAATAATGTCTAATGTCCTCTACTTTGTACATCAATTGCTTTTTTAACTGTGTATATTGTAATATGTTAAAAGAAATTATATACGTTTTGTTAATGATTGTCTATACCGGATGGACCTTTGGAATATAATTGTAACTATTTTTTGTACAGATAAATATAATTATGTATAAATAAATAAATAAGTAAATACATACGAAACCTGAAACTGAAGTCTGCCCATAGCACGCATTAGGCCACCTCGCCTGCCCTAAGTTCGAACAGCTTAAGTTTTATAAATATAAATATTCTAACCTTAATTTATTTTTGTATTTATTTTAATTTATTTATAAATATATTCACATTGTCAGTCGTGGGTACTGTGGTTTGTTTTCACATTATATTTTTAATAACGGTATTCAACTGTCCAGTTGATGTAATGGTGACCCACTTAAAGGACAGAATAAAGAAATGACCTAATTAGTGCATCAATCAGTGGGTCATGTGGAACAGTCAATGTTTTATTTGAATAATCCAACCTGATTGTTTATTTAATGCCTAGATGGCAATATGATGCTAAGTCTCTAGAAACAATAAGCTATGGCATGATGTTATGTGTTATGTGCACCTTGATGTTTTGTGCACCGTGTTGTGCTGATGTTATGTGCACCATGATGTGCTGTTGTTATGTGCACCATGATGTGGTGTTGCTATGTGCACCATGATGTGGTGTTGTTATGTGCACCATGATGTGGTGTTGCTATGTGCACCATGATGTGGTGTTATGTGCACCATGATGTGGTGTTGTTATGTGCACCATGATGTGCTGCTGTCATGTGCACCATGATGTGGTGTTGTTATGTGCACCATGATGTGGTGTTGTTATGTGCACCATGATGTGGTGTTGTTATGTGCACCATGATGTGGTGTTGCTATGTGCACCATGATGTGGTGTTGTTATGTGCACCATGATGTGGTGTTGCTATGTGCACCATGATGTGGTGTTATGTGCACCATGATGTGGTGTTGTTATGTGCACCATGATGTGCTGCTGTCATGTGCACCATGATGTGGTGTTGTTATGTGCACCATGATGTGGTGTTGTTATGTGCACCATGATGTGGTGTTGTTATGTGCACCATGATGTGGTGTTATGTGCACCATTATGTGATGTTGTCATGTGCACCATGATGTGGTGTTGTTATCGTTCTTGCTCAACATGTTAGGGCCCTTAAATTAATAATGTACAGATTTACTCTCAATATCTTTGGTACACCTCTTCTATTTAAACACCTATTCATCACACATTTCCATAAACGACGTCACACCTTTTAGACGAGTTTTGACTGCCCACTGACCATCGTCACTTATCGTCACAAAAAGTAAACTGACGTCATACCTCAACGTTCATTTTTTAAAGCGATTTCCTAATCATATAAGTTTAGCTTAGCCAACATTGGATATATGTATTACTTTTTATGATAAATAGCATTAACATACTTTAAAAATGGGAAACGATGGCTTTAATTCAGTTTCAAACATGACTTTTGTTAATTTAAAAATGTGACGTCACATTTTTAAAATCCCCCGCCCCTTCTCATCCTCACAAGTCACTAAAGCCCGACCCCCCCCCCCCACTAAGACTGTGACGTCGTTTATGGAAGACCCTCTTACCATCGAACTTGTTCCATCACATAGCTGTTGTTTTATCATCTCATCCTGTCAGATAGTTGTCACTTCTTTTGTCGAACGATATATCACAATGTGTTTACTGTATCGGGTGTACCATCTATACCATCCTATATACCATCACTACCTAAAATATATACCTTTCTATATACCATCAAGACCTAAATTATATACCATCCTATATACCATGACTACCTAAAGTCTATATTATCCTATATACACTCCTACATATACAGTCCTACCATCCAAATCATTCTATATACCATCACAACCTACCTTCTATACCATCTTATATACTATCACAACCTACTATCTATACCATCTTATATACCATCACAACCTATCCCCTATAGATCTCCCTTCAAAGCACGATCTACAACGATATTCACAACACACAACACTCAACACACATATTTATGTCATTTCCTTACGTCACTCATTACATTTTAAACATACAGTCTATAATCATGTACCATGTTCTTCTCTTGTCCAGTTGGACATTAATGACAATTGACATTATGATCTGAGCTGTTCAACTATTTTATCATCAATAATCATGTGTCACTTATTGTGTACACTATACCATCATCTGTCGCCATCTTGTGCCGTTTTGTGAACTACACCATCATCATTAACCATCATCTGTTTTGTGCACTTCAATACCATCAGTCACCATCATGTACCATCAATTTTGTGATACATTGAGTATTTCAAACGCAATACAAAAATAACCTTGACCTTGCCACCATACCATACGATGAACATGTCTGACGCTACTCCTGCTCCGTGAAGTAATTTGTCCAAGAGGTTCCAATAAAAAATTGACACTAATTAATCCACGTGTCGTTTGATTTATTTAGTTGATTGAAGGAGTGGTCATCTTTTGATTGGGTGAAGAATAAAGTCGGTTACTATCTGGTTAGTGAAGACATTTCGTCATCATCATCTTTTCCTGTGTGTGTCCAAGAAACATTGAGTAGGTAAAGTAGAGTTAATCTATTTCAATGATCTTGGTATACAAGGGGATGGTGAGGTCAGCATTATGCCCAGTGGCCTTTGTTTCCCTTATATGAATCGTTGGTCTACTCTTGTGAGCTGGGTGGACTAGAGTCAAGTACCCATCTGAGCTGGGTGGACTAGAGTCAGGTACCCATCTGAGCTGGATGTACTAGTCAGGTACCTTTAGTGCTGAGTGGACTAGAGTCAGGTACCCATCTGAGGTGGATGTACTAGTCAGGTACCCTTTAGAGCTGAGTGGACTCAGGGAAGCCCTACAGACCGGGATCAAAACTAGAGACTTCCGGGTTACACTCCAGCGCAATGAAGACATCTGTAGAGCTGTTACTGTATCGTTTCATCTGTAGAGCTGTTACTGTATCGTTTCATCTGTAGAGCTGTTACTGTATAGTTTCATCTGTAGAGCTGTTACTGTATCGTTTCATTAGATGTCCCAAAGACAACATTGTGCCTTCTAGCAGTTGTCATGCTGCTGTATTGAAATGTCAGGCTAGGATTTGGGTCATGTGATAAAATTTAAGGACTGCGAGTAAATCTTGTCAAGAGAAGTAATCGTGTATTATTTTGAAAGTGATGTCAATAAAATTGCCTCCCATCGGCACTACTGATATTTTTACTTTCTCGTATACGAAGTATAGAGGAAGTATTGTAGTCGAGTTTTTCAGATATCTCGATGTTTTAAACGTCGTTGAGTCGGAAAAACATAGTTATGCAAATTTCGTCAGTATGTATGTGTGTGTGCTTGTGTGTGTCTGTCAACACGATAACTTGAGTACCGTTACAGCTAGGTTTTATTACTTTGTTTTGATGTCGGGGAAAAAATAATTACATAATAAGCGTGGATTGATCAAGTGCAATGTGGTAAGTAAAACACAAATATTTTAAATGCTGCCTAGGGGGCTCGTTAGCTGGGGACAGCCACTCTTCTAGGAGAGACAACACCAAAATTAAACAACTGCTGCCTTGTAGTTTGTTCTTGGTTGGACAAAGGCTATGGAAGCAAATCCAAAAAGAAAAGCAGTTGTGTTGGAGGCGTGGTCGAGTCGGCAAAAAGCTCATGGTTTATAAATTCGAACAAACTCTCAAGTTCAAACCCACTGGCAGATAAATCTGGCTCCCCTTCAACACTAATAATTAAGAACGAAGAAGAAGAAAATGCTGCCTTTTATTTATTTTATACAATGAACGTACTGTTTACTAAATATGATTTGTAAACAATTACAGTTTACAAGGAGCACCTAAATTTCCTCTATGTTTACTTCTGTCTTCCCGTTTGCTGATAAGCTTGGGGTATTATAGTTGTTCACTAAATTAAATCAAGCGCGTCCGCCGGCGCCCCGGCAGGGTTCGATTTGGCGCCCTAGGCGCTATGGTGCATAATTTCGATTTATACAGTGTGATAGACTATGGATAAGAAAGGTCACTATAGTCTTTAACTGAATCGAATCCCGACAGGGTGTTATTTGGCGCCCAGGGCCTTCCCGTGTTAGCTATGGTTCCTACGTTCGTTTAAGTGTGCAAAAGACTATGAATAAGTTGGGTTACTATAGTTGTTTACTAAGTTAAATCAGGCGGTTCCGCTGGCGCTCCAGAATGGTGCAATTTAGCGCCCCGCGCTGAACTGTGAGCACTATGCGTTTATGTTTATGTTTGCGTTTGTGTTTGTTTGTTTTTTTGTCTTTGATTTGCGTTTGCGGTTAGGTTTGTCTTTGATTTTGGATTTGGGTTTGTTTTAGTTTGCTTTTTGTTTGCGTTTGTGTTTGTGTTTTCGTTTGTGTTTGTGATGGGGTTTGTGTTTTCGTTTGTGTCTATATTTGTGTTTGAGTTTGCGTTTGTGTTATGTTTGCGTTTTTTTTTTTTTTGGTTGGTTGTGGTTAGTGTTAATTCGAAAAGTAATACATTTCCTAAATCCCGACAATGCCGGATATATGCTGATTACTAAACATACAAGTCATGGTCCTTTAAAGAAAGATAAAAATCATTCTTATATCCCGAGTTGCCATCCCCCGTAGTGCTATTTAAGAATATTTTAAGTTTTTAATGATATCTGTAGAGAAGAGTTCATTTCTTTAAATTTTAAGACATTTACGACGTTTGGCAGCGATTGTTCTATAAGCCAATTAACTTGTCAGGCAGGTTTGTAGGCTGCTATATGTGTACAAGACCATATGTGTGCTGTATAAATTGTGTACACGACCATATGTGTGCTGTATAAATTGTGTACAAGACCATATGTGTGCTATATAAGTTGTGTACAACACTATATGTGTGTTATATAAATTGAGTACAAGATTATATGTGTGCTATATAAATTGTGTACAAGACCATATGTGTGCTATATAAATTGTGTACAAGACTATATGTGTGCTATATAAACTGTGTACAAGTCTATATGTGTCATATATAATTTGTGTACAAGACCATATGTGTGCTATATACATTGTGTACAAGACTATATGTGTGCTATAAAAATTGTGTACACGACTATATGTGTGCTATATAAATTGTGTACAAGACTATATGTGTGCTATAAAAATTGTGTACAAGACCATATGTGTGCTATAAAAATTGTGTACAAGACAATATATGTGCTATAAAAATTGTGTACAAGACTATATGTGTGCTATATAAATTGTGTACAAGATTATATGTGTACTACAAGCGATTGTTTAAGTGTAGTATGAGGCGTGGAGGGGAATGTAGATATTTAAGATCAAAATGCTTGTACACATATTTATAAACTTTTTCATCTTACCTTCATCACATAGCAGATGGACTTCATTAATAAGACAATTTGCTGAAATTTTTTGGGTAGGTCATTGTTAGCGGTATTCAGTTAATTATTGATTCAGCTATAAATGGATTCAGTTAATTATTGCTTAACTTAGACATCATAATAACAGGAACCACAATTTTCAGTTTGTGATTGACG